ATCACTATTACTCCTCACACCACCATTATTCACCACCATCACCATCCACAGCACCATTATTCATCACAACACAGTCAACAACTATAAAAACTCCACCACATATAACCACAGCAGCATCACCACTCGCAACACTAACCCATCAAGTTCCTGGATCAAAAAACAACACAGACAGCACCACCAACACTGTCCAGAAGTGAAGCAGTCGTGTCGGGTTACGTATGTTTACAAATACAAGCACGTGTCTGATGCTCACCAAAACTTAACCTTTTTTTCATCACATATTTTTGGGGGTGGAAAATAAACCTGAAGTAAATTATGTTTTGTGATGACGTAAGCTTATAATTTATGTTTTGTGATGAAGTAAGCTGATAATTTGCTTTGTGATGAAGTAAGCTTATTATTTGTTTTGTGATGAAGTAAGCTTATTATTTGTGTTTTGTGATGAAATAAGCTTAAAATTTGTTTTGTGATGAAGTAACCTTATAATGTGTTTTGTGATGAAGTAAGCTTATAATGTATATTTTGTTACGGAGCCTATAACTTGACTTGCAATGTCTCTCATCTGTGTAGTTTATTAAGTTACTAAAACCACACAAACACACTATATATATATACACACACACAGACACACACTGTACTTTACAATCACAGTAACCACAACACATTCCTAGACTCTTGTGTGTTTGTGTGTGTTGCGGGACATGCTCGAGTCACACAGTATTATCAGAGGCGAGTGTGATAAAGTCTCACTCAATGACTCCTATGCCGCCCTACATGTAAATGAACACTCCACCAAATTTACCACGGATGACTGTGAAGCTTGGTCAGGACACACTAGACTAGAGGGATGGGCAGATATGTGTGTTTTGTAAAGGGAAGTTTTGGATGATCTATTCGTATACTGTAACTCTGACCGTCTTCTGAGCACATACAGGTAGGGCCGTTGTTAAAAATAAAATAAGAGGTTTTTGTAATTAACAGCGACGTCTGCTTAGTAAATAAAAAATAAATACTTTGGCATTATAATTCTCTTACCAATGAGCAAAACTTTAAATTCAATTCCAATTTTTTCAAGATTTTTTTTTTGTGTGTGTGTTTCGGGAGACTTGCTACAGGTTCAGGATATCAGTTGAATGAACATCACCATCAGACCAGCTATATTTTTTATACCACGACGTAATTGCTGATGAAACTTGACACCCTACCCATGAGACCGAGTTTGATCCCGCGGTCGCTCCCCTCTCTCACACACACACACACACTTGCGACACAAAAACTGCCTTGCCTAGCCTGGTGTTACTGGGTGTCGGTCACTCGTCATGCCCAGGCCCTTGCTAACCTCTTCTTGGCCTTGAACTTGTAAACTACTGAACAGAAACACAGCTTAATCCATGTTAGCTTATACACGATGTTCATAAAGTAATAATAGTGTTCGTGCTTAAGGAAACCACACACCCAGAATATCGCTATACGTCCTCAAACATTTCTACCACAAAACTACTGTATCCTTCCTTCACCAAGTATACGCTGTAACAATTTCCTTAGGCATGTATGTTGAATTGTAAATAACGCATCAGGGTCTGTTTATAAGTCTTAAATCTTAGCTAACATGCGCGGGTAAAAGATAGAATGCATACAGATGTTTCCCATATGTAAATTCCTCATTGGTCTCTATAAAACAAACAAATGACTCAAAAAAAATCATAAAGGGACTCTGAAAACACACATCCAGACATTTAGGACACAGTGTACATCATGTCAGACTTGTTACAACAGCGGGTGTGAGGAAGGAGGGTGGCGGAGTACATGACTAACCAACCCCAGCTACTGATGAGCAAGACAATCCTCACTCATAAAATATTTCACTGATAAAGTTACATCACTGAGCTATTTTTTTTTCACTCGCTATCAGGTGCGTCCCGGTGGCAAGATAACTGCGGGGTGTCGTAATCAAGAAGCAGGTGTCAATGTGCACTGTAACATCCCAGGACAAGGCCCAGTTACCGAAGTATAGTGAAAAGTGAAAGTGGGTCCCATAAGCATGACTGTCTGTTAGGGACAGTGTAGATGCAGTACATTGTATTCATATTAAGCCTTCGGTACACAAGGCGGCAGCATGGTCGGTAAAGTACTCAATCGCATTCACTTCTCCAAGCTGTAAACTTAGGTATCCGTTTACAGCTGGGTGAACTGGGAGTGCCCCGGTTATTGAACTACCGACCCGTGCAACAATACTCGAACACTGTGTCCAGTCGACCGGCGCACCTACAGTAAATTTACAAACCTTACTAAATTTACAAACCTTACATAAAATGAACTGGCATAACGTAATATAATTTTATCCAAACCAAACCAAACCTAAACTAAACCTGCCCAAACCTAACCCTGCATAATTCTCATCTTACTTGGTCAAACTAAAACTACCCAAACATAACCAGATTAACTTTGACATTAATACCAGCACGACTTGAAAAAAAATAAAAAATCTTCGTCACACACACACACCGTTTAGCATAAGACCACAACCACTAACAGAACTTATCAATAGTCCAATTTTGTAAACAATGAGCGTGAGGCAGGCTCTATCTTGACCTACCTAACTATCTACTATACATACACTCAACCCAGACGGTGAGAGTTGAGGAGCAGGACACGAGGCAGGATCCACACACCATTATGCCATCACTGCTCACTCACATCCTTGTTCCAACACTATTTCACCCCCCCCCCAACATGTGATGCAAATTTCAAGGTAAAAATCAATGTTGCTAGCGTGTGATTGATCGGACTTTAAATAACTCACCCGTGGACTCTCTTAATGCTGCTGCTGCTGTTGCTGCTCGCTACTGAACACCAAGGTATAAATGTAGATATAAATGTATATCTTTATACCTTGCTGAACACATTATAGGCTATTTACCACTGTATACCACGTGGTATACAAGGCTATGTGATACATCTCATCAATAAGTTCTCACATTTATATAACTTCCATCATTTATTTTTTTATCACTTATATTTTTTATATCACTTATATTTTTCCATCACTTACAGTATATTTACCCCATCATTTATACTTATGTTTAACACTTTTGGTATAAACTGGTAAAGAAAAACTTGTAATACCACATAAATCATAACATTGAAATCCCGTCGCCACAGTGGGATTTCAAGTGTTTCCGTATACAGTATTGTATACTGAATATATATATAACAAATTATTAGATACTGGCGGGTTTGGATATATATATATATATATATATATATATATATATATATATATATATATATATATATATATATATATATATATATATAATGAGCCTGCAAATCACTCCAGTAGAAAAAAAGCAAAGGAGGCACATCGACAGAGTTATCATGATGTAGGTCCAGGAACTAAAGGAAAAAAAAAAAAAAAAAAAAACATATATATATATATATATATATATATATATTTTTTGGACCTGTTTCTACGCCTGAAAAAATCTATATACCTATCTGCAGTGGTGAATCAAACTCCGCTCTGCTCTCCTGTATGGTCTTCAGAAGTTTAGCTAATAAAATTCTTAAATATTTAAAAAAAAGTTAGGTAATTTTCGGGTGCGGTTTTAAGTACCAAGACGATAGTAATAGTAATAGTAGTAGTAGTAGTAGTAGTGGTGGCGAAGGTGTGGCTATTGGGGGAGGCTGGAGGCCACGCTAAAAAAAAAAAAAAAAAAAAGTAGTAGTAGTAATGGTTCAACACAGGACTTCAAACACATCTAACGAAGCCCGTGTGGACGTCATTTAACTCGAGGATTCTGGACACTTGGGGACAGCGAGCTTTCTTCGACATCAGGATTTTGATCCCATGGCCGTTTGTCACCGTAACCTTAGCTCTCGATGCTGTGCATAGGAGAACGAGAACGACAAGAGAAGGAGCATATGGGAAGAATTCAAAATGTTGATCAAGGCAGCTTCACTCCTCTAGTATTTCACAACCTCTGGTGGGATGGGCCCAAAATTCAGATGTTTCTACTTCAGACTCGCGGAGCTGATCTCCGAACAGAAGCAGCAGCCCAGAAGTTATGTCACAGCCTGGATGAGATGTCGACTGTCCTTCTCTCTCCTTCGGTCGGCTTTGCTCTGCCTCAGGGGAACGAGAGCTTCTGCCCCTACTCCGACAACTGCTGCAGATATCGACTATGAGGCTACAGTCACTGAATGCCGCATTGATCTGCGGCTCAACTAATTTAACACAGATAGGATAGTTTCTTATGTATTAGGATATTTAATATGAAGGTAAATAAATGGTGGCGAAGGTGTGGCTATTGGGGGAGGCTGGAGGCCACGTTAAAAAAAAAAAAAAAAAAAAAAAAAAAAAAAAAAAAAAAAAAAAATAGTAGTAGTAGTAATAATTCTTCACAGGCGGCCAACTATGGAAGACACGATCCACAGGTCTATATGATACCGAGTTAACAGCGAACTGCGGTATTTAAGTACTCATATGAGGACAGTGCAGGAACCATATCTGGGAAAGGTACCATTGTGTGTGTGAGGGGTGAGGTAGGAGTAGGGGTAATGTGATGTGAGGTAGGTGTGGGGAGTGAGGTGGTGTGAGGTATGAGTAAATGAGCTGGTGTGAGGTAAGAGTGGGGAGTGAGGTGCTGTGAGGTATGAGTGGGGTGGTGTGAGGCACGAGTGAGGGTGAAGAAGTAAGTGTGGGGAAGAGGGTGTGAGGAAGACATAAACAAAGCAGAGGTCGGGTACTCACCAATGGCAGCAGGCCAGGTTGAGAAGACGGAGCTAAGAGTCTCACAAGAGTCTCGACATAAACACACCCAAGGAAGCCAGCACTGCCACCACCCCCTTAAGACTTTTTTTCTTTTCTTTTTCTTCATCGAGCACAAACACAAACACATTTCTAAACATAAATCAAATCTGAAAAGCTTCCCATGACCTATCCCAAAAGGCAACATGCACAGATCCCGTGGCTCTGGTTGAGTTGTTAAAAAGGATATCTATGGTCTCCTCGAGGTCCTCCAGGTCCCACTCTATGGACCTGAGGGCGTTGCGTAGCTCTGTGTTGGTCCAATCGAGCTCCTCCTTACTGGTGACGATGGCCCCTTCCTCCTGTAGCTCTCCCCACCGCTGGTACAGCCCCCGCGTCTTGTTCAGCGCCTTGCACACCTCACTGTGGACAGAGTGACACGTGTGGTGTTAATACAGGGAAGACGGCTCTTGTTGGGGATAAGAGTGGGTTCAGTGTTTTAATAGGTACAAGTAATAAGATACCTGACAGCTGTGGAGGAGAGGGTGGCACCAGTTCAAACACTAGTGAGATGAAAGATGAATGATGGGAGACATGAGAATAATGGAGTTAACTCAAGAAATACATTTGACCTTTTACACATTCATTAGATTAGAGAGTCTTCTCCAACACTATCCCCCGGTAATGTTCTAACACTTGAAGATATAAAAGGATTCATATTTAATTACGACAATCAATAAAATTCAAATGTAAACACGTATCTATTTTTTCTACCGAGAGGGGTGTAAAATAATGATGCACTGAATAATGGAAAGACACGGATCATCTCAGTACCTGCTAAGTACAAATACCACGTCCCAGCACCAATCTACCAACACCTTTCCCCAGAGCCAATCTATCTGGTAATAGGCCTGACATTAGTGACATTAGGGACAGTTCAGATACATCATCATTCCACTCGCCTGCCTTCACGTTCCCAGGGACACTAAGCACAGCAGGTGAATGTTATATCTACTACCACCACCACTTCCAAGCATTACTCTACTCCATCCACTTCTACTTCCCAGCACCAGTCTGCCCCCCCCCACCACTTCCCAGCATCCAGTCTACTCCCCACCACTTCCTAGTACTAGTACCACCACTCGCCCACCCCCACCACCACACGTCTATCATGCTCCGTCTGCCACTGCCTGGGTTCACCATCGTTGCGCCATGAATTAAATATCTTATCACAGTCTTAGGTCAGTTAATCTAGCGCCTACCAAGCTTAGCAATGGCTGGAAGACACCATCACGGTGCACTTTACACTAAGAGCGTCAGTCAGTGGTGCTCATTATGGTCTTTGTGTTGAAGGATCCCTTCAAGGGTTCACAGTCGGCACGATATTTTGTGCTACATGTATAAAGGAGACGTTAACAATGTGTCTATGGGCTCAGGAATCCCTAGAGTCATATCACCTGTAAACCTCCTAGCTAAGGTGACCCCTGGTGCCACAATCCACCTCCTCGCAGGGAAAATCTGAAATCGGTTGGGCTAATATATATCACCACATTATTTAGAGGTGACCTTGAAGTAGCAGTGGACAAACGACAGATCACCACCATACAGCCACAACCCGGACGAGAGACTTGTTTCTCGTCCTGGCTAATCAACACTCGACCACCAAACTCCTCGTATACTGGATATTCCTACAAGGTGGCCGCCAAGCAGTATTTGTCCACCCCCTCCCTGCCTTTATGGTTCACAAATAACGGCATAAGTGATTTCTTTTTTTCTTTTTTATTCAGCAGGTACAATATCACGTCTCCTATGCATACTGTACATGACCCCGAACGTCTCCTATACATACTGTACATCACACCTAACACGTCTCCTATACATACATGACACTCAAAACGTCTCCTATGCATACATGACACCCAATACGTCTCCGATACACACACATGACACCCAAACAGTATTATACCATCTCTGACCCCCTGAAAACGCTTCTATCGGTCAGGTCAGGAAATGCGACACTGGGCTCAGTAAATGCATCTAAAAATATCACACCACAGTACCGAAAAGCGCATTATATGTTTATGAGCGATCCAAGATTTAAATATCAGTTCTACCAAATCAATTATTTAGTAAACTAGTCATCAACACAAGTAGTATTTTCTTTTATTAGAATTGTTATTTATTATTATTATCATCAATTTTATTATTTCATTAACCCCCCAAGCCTTGATGTAGGTCATTAAAAATTACCTGTGCCCGGGTGAGCTAATACCTAAAAAAAAAAAAAGAGGATAATATACAGCATACACCAAGTACAGTATAATCAATGTGTTGCTATAATTATGCATTGATATAAATAAAATTGGTAATTAACGCTGGTGTTACAAGTAGTACAGTATTTACTTGGTGCCCGAGGAGCTGAATTGTCTACTTAGTTATACATAACGAGTATTGTTATATTACAACATAAAAATCATTAACTAAACCTGGCAGAAGATTAAAATGACGCTCCATGCCACTATTGTGAACACTAAATTACATATATTTTTAGCCTCGGACCTTTCGCTAAATTTCAACTGAAAATTAAACAAATTAACACCAATTTTAATCAACGATCAGATTTTATTGCTAACATAGTTTAATTCTTCACATTGGGAAAGATAAAATATACAAACAGTCAGGTAGATAAAATAACAGTACCGGCAAGTGTTGAGGGAAATAATCATAACGTAAATGTGTGGAGACGTGGGCGACACCCCGTGTGGTGGTGGTCACTATATAACACCTACTTCTTGGAGCCGAAGTAGATAAGGTCAACGAAGCTAGAGTAGCGGAAGGCGTTGACTTCCTTGATGCTCTTCCTGACGCTCTGTTTTCGAAGGACTGCGGCACGATTGCCTGCTGCCCCACCGTAGCGAGAACCAGTTCTCCTGAGATGTCCTGCCATAGCACCGGAGATGCCCTGGCCTCTACAACACTCACAACCCACCAACAGTACCACAACCCTTCATCAAGAAGGTTCCACCAACCCTCACACCATAGTGCCCCCTCACACCGCTACCTGGCCACAAGGAACGGTCAGTATCCTAGCGCGAGCGAGGGCAGAGCGAGGGCAGATATCAGTACGCGCCCCACCAACTTGCAAGTCACACTAAGACGCCCGAGCTGATCCTGACAATCAGAGTAACTCTTGGCCCAGCCACGGCCGTGCCATTGGCTACCCCACCTCGCCAGTATCTCCCCTCCCCTCAACCAAAACAATCAAACTCCTGTTGCTTACACCCGACCAAATACACCAAGAAACAACTATTCGCTCTTTTATACACAAATTATCGCATAGCACCTAAGAGGAAGCAGTAACAGGAGGGTGTGACGGTCGTAAAGAGCAATGATAAAAGAAATGCAGTTGACGCCAGTAAAACTACGGGATGAACCAGCCAAGGCGCCTCGAGTGGCTCATTACGTGTGGGCTGCTGCATAAACCCGCTGTATATGGAACACTACACCATCTGTGGCCCTGGTGCCACGAGGCACTCATTCCACCTGCCATCACCACCATCTACGTGCATACCTTATCATTCATCCAGCCATCGTCGACAACTTGTGATCCATCATTGCATCAGTGGTCTTATCAACCATGTTATACGAGGTTACCATCCTCGCAAGATCTATTTTTATTTTTTTTCCTTCAGCTTCATTTGCCGGATACTACAATCTGTATTTCATGAATCTCCCCAATAAATCGTGAGCATTATTTTAAAGGAGCCACAAATGCCCCACATATATCCTGCAATTGTCAATGAAAACGTTCCAGCTTGGTCTTGGCCAAGGTCAAAGCCAAGTCGCTTGACAGACTGGACACTCAGTGACTACCTGTTCCACCACCACAATCAACACACACAGGGTTCCTAACAAGGACTACCCCCTGGTGAAATTTAGGAGAGGCGTCATTTTACGAGTGTATCAGCAACCGGAGTCACTTTAAACCAGATGGTGGCAAGCAGAATACACAGGCTTCATCATTCCGTAAACACACAAACTAACTGGCCTCTGTGCCCGTGCATCAGCTGATAGTTCCTCACCTGCTCTGCTTTGCACTGGTGTGGCGGCCTGCGGGCCTACCAACTGCCTATCAAAAAAACGACCTACTGTTAGTTCATGATTTGATTGGATGGTAAACGTATTTCTCAAGCTCAAGGATAATGCCATGAAGTTAATTCTACAACTTAAACTCGCGAAGGCCAACATTCAACTGATAATTCAATGAGGTAGAGACTAATAGCAGCAATGAATCAGTATACTGTACGTGGAAGAAAACGGAGGGTACCGACCGGCCAGGACTAAAATCAGTATTTTATCTTTGCCGGTCGGTACTTACGCTGAGAGAAGGTTACCGACAGCTACCGTTGCCACGACAAAATTACAGTATATTTTTGCAGTTAACTTGATGATAAAATACTCGAATTTATAAGAGAGGGGATCTCAAATATTTAAAAATACTTTTATACAAGAGTTTTAAAAATATGCACTAGTGAGAGGTCGTTGATTATATGTTCAAAGTCCGCGTGTTATATATATATATATATATATATATATATATATATATATATATATATATATATATATATATATATATAATATATCCCACACACAACGCTTCCGTGACGCCTGCTGGACCACCACTCCACGACCCCCTGACGGACACGATGATCCTCCCCATACTGGCCAGATATTTTGTAAATAATATTGATTATGTGTTAAAGGAATATCCTTCCTTCCTTAGGCTTTAGTAAGCCCCTTTATAATATTTATACTGTATATACTTGTCACACTTGCCAGATGCTTCTGGTGTCATTGTACAGGGGTACCTAGTGACAGCACTAGGATCCCGCTTCCTCTATCAAGGAATAAACAATTGAAACTGATATATATATATATATATATATATATATATACATAAGGTAGATTCGACATAAAATTCACACTGCTTCTGCATGTACTGTACAGTATATAAACATTGCAGGTAATACAAGACTAATAAAATTACGTAACAAAAATTAAAACGAGTGACAAACTACTGTATTTATAAGGGGGCTTGAAATATTTACAAAGGACCTAAAAGTCCTAAATTATTCACATTAAGGACTTAATATATTTACACAAGATATGTGAGAATTTTACAACTCAAGGCACTTTGAATATACACACAAGTGTCCTGGGATATCCCCACAAATACGGCGAGAGGTTACCGGATACTTCAACCAAAAGCTCTTCCACAGCGTCCTCACAAGAACTCCTCACGTTAAAATCGGGTATATAAGTTTATAACACTCAATTACCACACGTTACGTGTAACAAATATTACATTTGAACTCTATTTCTACAATATAATTTCACTTGGACATTCTCAGATAAAATACATTGCATCATCAAAAGAACCCAGTGACAAGCCAAGTTTACCAAAAGTTCGTATGATGACCATTCCTCATAATTGAAGTACTACACTTACTTGTTGAGTTTACGCTGAAATACAAACACTAAAAAAAGGCATTAATTTTGCAATTATATTTTGCCTAACAAGTTCAGTTCACTTAGCACTAGAAATTTTTGAAAGTTTAGTTACGATAGTTTTGTCTTGCTTGTACTGTACTGTAATTGGAGCAGAGTTGAACGCATCAATTTTGGCGTCTAGTAATTTTTCTGCGGATCTTTATGATTTATCTTAAGTCAACCAATAAAGTGCATTTTTATGTCTTCACTTAGGATTATTCATCATACAAACCTTTGTGAATATGAACCGTCATTTCACACAGCTTTACTTATAAACAATTTGAACTACCCAAGGATTATAATAAGGTAGTGATTGTTGAAGTGTTTATCTGGTGTCTTAGCGATATATTATTAATAACTATTATATAAAATTTAAATTTACATTTATGAGAGTAAGTTAAAAGAATATACATGAGCTTGACCATGTAAACCCTGGTAATCTAGTATTTAATTATAACGACAACGGATGTTTAACTGGAACCAAGACGAATTCCATCGACACATCTTTTGAATGTATTTTGATGTTTTACACCCAAGTTTTCTCTTTACATGACAGTTGGTTCTGTTGTATATTGCAGTGGTTTCGTTCTTCTCTTCCGCCTCCTCTTCCTTTAGCTGTGTCAACTTGATCAAATCCCTCGAGTCAATTTCTCCACACAAGACTCAAACTCATTTCAAATCTTCAATTGCAAGAGTTTGGCCAAGGTTAACTAATTGTGTCAATTCTAATGTTAAAGACAAGCGGGTAGTCTTTGATTACCTTAAGAAGTTACGACCATGCCTTGCCAAGCTGTACCCATCCTGTGGTTGGTGTTAGAAAGAACATCCAACTGTAAAGCTTTGCTTCAACATGCCTGATGGCAATTGGGTCACACTGTGATCATCTTTTGGCCTGTGCTGCATTTTCTGGGCTGGCACCTTGGGGTAGTGGATAGGGGAACATCCTGTTGTGGTTTTACCCGAAAGCAACCATCAAGTACAGCACTGTAATCACGGTCCGACTAATTACCCAAATGTAGCCAAATATAGCCGCAATGAAGTCAAATAATGGTCCTACATGAATAAATCGGACTGCTAATCACTTCTCGACTAGTATTTGGTGTCAGAAAGTCACAAAAAATTGGAAAACTTACTTTAATCTGAGTTAATAGATTGCGTGCATGTACCGACGGAGCGAGGAATTACCCAAATGTACCCAAATGTAGCCGCAATGAAGTCAAATGATGGTCGTACAAGCGTAATTCGGGCTGTGAATCACTTCTCGATTATTATTTGGTGTCATAAAGTAAAAAAAAAATTGGTAAACTTAATTTAATCTGAGTTGTGTTGTGTTAGGTTAGGTTAGGTTAGATTAGGTTAGGTTAGGTACATGCACTTGATCTATTAATTCAGATTAAATTAAGTTTACCAATTTTTTGTGACTTCGTGACACCAAATACTAGTCGAGGTTAGGTTAGGTTAGGTTAGGTACATGCACTCGATCTATTAACTCAGATTACATTAAGTTTACCAATTTTTTGTGGCTTTGTGACACCAAATACTAGTCGAGAAGTGATTGGCAGTCCGATTTATTCATCTAGGACCATTATTTGACTTCATTGCGACTACATTTGGGTAATTCCTCGGTCCGTCGGTACATGCACGCGATCTATTAACTCAGATTAAAGTAAGTTTTCCAATTTTTTGTGACTTTCTGACACCAAATACTAGTCGAGAAGTGATTGGCAGTCCGATTTATTCATCTAGGACCATTATTTGACCTCATTCCGGCTATATTTGGCTACATTTGGGTACATTTGGGTAATTAGTCGGACCCCTGTAATCACGACTAACTCATGCAAACATGGAAAATCATATTTACACTCCTGCCATAAGGTATTCTAAGCTCCAACCATGATGCTGATCTTGAATTCATCCGAAGCATTCCTGATACATACATTTCTGGTATCTGCAATAACATGGAGGATGTTGTCCTGGTGTCAGAACTCCAGAACAGATAGCTGTTGTGCCCATCAGTAGCTTCATGTAACTGAGATAAAGTCCACCTCAAATACTATATATTTCAAATGTTGCTATTAATCTTTGATTCACTGTTTAAAATAGGAACGTGGTGTTGGGTTGCACAAACACAACTCAAATGTTAGGTTCATTGGGTGACCCAAGATATTATCAAGGCGTTAGGCCTTGAAGGTGAAGTTAAGAGCTTCAGATGTCAGAAGCAGTCCACCTCCACATAAAATAATTAACAAGAGTCTTCAAAAAGTTGTGGTTAAAAAAATATATACAGGTTGACAACCCTTTATCCGAAATTCCGAAAACCGAATAGCTCTGAAAACTGAAAGTTTTTTTTTTGTGGAGCCATTTTTTTTTTTTTTAACCAGGGATTAGCCTACCCGGGCATAGCTCACTGACCCACATCAGGGCCTGGGGGGCGAAAATGTAATAGTAATAGTAATAGTAATAGTAATAGTAATAATAATTATAATAATAATAAATATTCATAGTAAATAAAATTTATTTATAAAAATACCAAAATAAAATAATAATGATTACAATAATAATAATAATAAAATATAATAGTAAAATTAATAATAATAACAATAATACTGTAATAATAAAATAATAACAATAATACTGTAATAATAAAATAATACGTACAGTAATAAAGAAATACAAGAATGAAAAAAAGATCAAAAGTGAGAAACATGACCTGGACCTATGAATTATTATTATTATTATAATTTTTAATATATTTTCGCTCCCTAGGCCCTGATATGGGTCAGTGAGCTAATACACATTATAAAAAAAACACTAACCATTCTGAAAACCGAAAAATTCCAAAATGCCCTGGCCCCAAGGATTTCGGATAAGGGATTGTCAACCTGTATATTGGCTTATCAGGAACCAAGTAGGGTACAGTGGCTACGACCCACTAAAGCCTGTAGATTCTGGGACTCGTACAGTATAGGCATACAGTAATGACTTGAATGATACTTTTTCTTGTCCAAAATAGAGTACTGTACTGTTTTTCACCTATGAATTCCTAGTTTACCACATACAGGAAAGTTTCCGATAATGACGGTTCTGCTAATGACGATTCATATTTAAAACCCTGATTAATTTAGGACCCAATTCAATTTACACCTTTATTTTATTCGTACTTACGGCGAGATTTTTTTTTTTCATATAAATAATAACTGAATCCTGATATGTATTATACAAACAATAATGAATCTTTTGTACATATTCTTAATAAGATGAATGATGCTAGGTTTCCATGAGTGAGTACATACATATATTGACCTTTTGCTATCAGTCTCTCACTTTTTTCTTTACCATTAGTGGTTACTGCTACTGTACGTTAAATAACATTAATTAAAACATACACATTTTTTAACATTAGTTTGACTACAGCAACAACCAGGGTCTTATTTTCTTCAGTTTAAGATGGAGAACTGTCAACATGGATGTAAACACTGACAACAACAATGGCATCCCGTCTCTTCTTGTGTGACCATAATATTACAGTATTGACTTATATTGTGTAAGGAGCATTCATAAACATTATTTAAAGAAAATTTAAATTTTTCATTAATTTTATTGGTTTTTGGGAAAAGAGGGTAAAAGAGCCACACAAGATATGAAAAGGTCACACTAGGGAACGCATCTCATTATTGCTTTATTTTAATAGTAATTAATGATTCACGATATGATGATTCACCTTACACCGCAATATTGGAGGACACATTACCATCCTTATTTGAGACTTTACTGTCCTGTATCCATGTTGACAACTCTGCATAACTGAATTCTCTTTTAACTGGATAGGCCGATCACCTAGAAAATTAGCAGAAGTGCAAGGAAAAATTAAAAATAGAAATTCCAAACATGTACAACACTATTGCTCCTATACTTAAATTTGACCAGTACAGCCCTTGTACACAAAATTGATACAACAGAGCCAGAAGTTCTCTGACTCAACAATTCTAATTACAGGAAAAATATATAAACGTATATACAGTGTGTATATAGTAGTGATATCCCCGTTAGCCGGAACAATTGGTGTAGAGTGTAGAGCACTTCCGGGAATGAGAGATTTCTGGGTAACGAGACGACTCTCTCAAAGCCGGGAAAAATCCCTCGTCCCCAGAATTTTCTGGGTAGTGGAAAAATGTTCCCGGAAGTTCCAGATATAGCCCAATACATCATCTCTCGAACCCGGAGAAATATCCCCCATCCCCGGAATTTTCCGGAAAATGTGCCCCTTGAAATTTTGTTCCCAAAGCTGAAATTTTCCAGAAAATTACAGCTTGGAATGATTTTCCGAGAAAATTTCGATTTTGGCTATCGGAGAGTTCTGGGTTTGAGGGATTCTGGCTAATGGAGATATTATTGTATGTAAATATCCCATGCTTGACAAATGGGTTAAGTTCCTGGAAAACCCTTTGTTAAGTGAAATTTTGTATCTTGAATAACAGAACAAATGGGCAAAATGGGGGTGGTCTCCAACGACAAAAAAACAAACAATATTATACCCCAAAGCCATGAATTGGTTCACAAACAGCATAAAAACCCACCTAACTAATGAAAAATAATAAGCCATCTACTGTAATTTACTACCTAACACATTAAAAACTTTAATAAAATACTGTCTAGAAGAAAATATGCAGCTAAAACCATTGAGGAAAGGCTAAATGAAAAATTAACACAACCGCCATTTGCATAAGACGCAACTGTGTGACCTCAAAGCTCACCATACCAA